CCAACGTCTCTCAGACGTCTGTCTAAAGACGTCTTCAGGTCTAATATTTCATTTATTACTCGTTCTATAACTCGGAATTTTTGTCTATTCCGAACGCCAAGCTCTTACATTCTTGATTTCTTTTAAGCGAAAACATACACAAAATTTTGTTGCAAGAATTAAAAAACAAATCAAGAGCTTGAAATGCTAAAATAGGTACTACAATATAGAACATAATCACTTGACTCTTCATCTGGAAAACACGAAAAAAATTTCGCCTGGCAAAGTTGAAGAGCATTCAGCTATTCTATTAAAGCCCCCTAAGGCTGAATTCACTTGAAACCACGTTGTGCAGCTGACACCCAACATCAAATCATAATTCGACCATTTCTCGCCGGTATTCGGTAGTGCCCCACTGCTACACTTACCTTAAATAGTATAATCGTGCAACAAATGGGATCCTAACCTATTATGGCGAACGGCCTCCCCAGGGGACACCAATTACCAAAAAGAAATAATCAAACCATGATTTGTTGCCCTGGATATCAGTGAAACGCAACTTCAATTGTTAAGAGAAAGTTATTGAAAATATCTACAGTCAAATGCTCAAAGTCTAATACCAAACATGCTCAACTAGAAGTAGCTTACCAATTCTGATTCGAAGAGCGTAGTTATTATTATTTTTTTGATAGCTTATTCCTCCACAATTGATAGTCTACTACCGAATGACGAATATAATAATAGATAGGAAAAGAAAGATACAATAACTTGTTTACATTACCCTGGTCCCTTTTTTTTACTTCAGTAATTATTCATCAATTTAGGTATAATCCATAATGAAATAAACAAATCCTCCCATCTTTACTCACTGAAGTGCACAAAACACCAATTCCAGATTGTTTCGAAAATGTGATAAAAAACCCCTTTGCGAAGGATCATTATTCGAGTTGCAAAAATTGCCTAAACCTACTTAGTGTAAAATAAATTATCATTTTTTTTATGTAGTTACCCACTGTATACTTATTATGCATCAGATAATATGTACCTACTAGTATTATGTAGATATATAACTTTTCAATCGATCCAAACTGATCACATATACTTATCTCCAATTCTATACGACGTCATTAGACGTCTTATGGCCGTTTCCACCAACGAGTTTAGAGGAGCCTTATCGTTAAGTAGGTATTCCTTAAACTGACATTTCTCCATGTGAAAATTTCATTTTAGGGAATACTTATCATTAAGGCTCCCCTAAAATAGTTGGTGGAAACGGCCATTAATACATGGTATTTTTTCTGAACGGGTCATATTGGGTTTCACATGGTAACTTTTGAACCTGTTAGTTTATGTCATGGTCAAATGAACGTCCACAGCGTGACCTCCCAAACAAGTCATATTTTGCAACCTCTTTCCGACGTCGAATTTTGGTTAATCTATTTAAAATCAAACCTTTACTGCTTGAGATGTTTGTAGGAATAGGAAAAAAGACCTGCTGGAAAACGTCCTCCAGCATTTTAAATGTTTGAATGGATTTGGATCAAACGAGTTTTTCGCAGATCTGTTTTTGTATTAAAATTTGTATCGCTAAGATCCAATGTTCTCTATCTTAGGCCCGGATTATTCATCTTGAGATAAACTTGCTGGTAACTATCAAATCTGCAAGATAAATTTACAGATCTATAATTCCGTTGGTCACTGGTAATTACATTACCTGACAGCTTATTTAAGAGTAAATAAACCGGATCTTATATGTTTTAAGAGGCTCTTGAAGAGCCGGGAATAGATAAAAAAGACTTAAAAAATTTTGAAGTCTTTCAAACGTCTGTCTAAAGTCGTCTTTAGGAAAACATTGTAAATTGTACATCTTCAACGAGATATCTTAAAAACGTCCTTGGATCTGTTTTTAATACATAAACCATAATTCACTTTATTTAGGTCTGGTTATATCAAATAGTTGTCTTTAAGATGTGAATTCACGATATTTTATCAAACAACGTGTTTTATTGGTTTTCAGACGTTATGCAAACCTAAAGAAAACATCTTAAAGACTGCCTGGGAAAGTATGAAAATAATTCAGACGTTGTTTTGAATTTTTAGCAAAATGTCTAAACTAACAGAAATTATATCTCTGAAAAAGTGTTGGCCATTGTCATTCTTTGTCCTAAAAATTATCTGACGGTGACTTAAATTTCTAAAAAAATCTTACAGCTGTATGCAACATCCTCTTTTAACCTAAAAGCGTTTTTTAAAACTGGTACCTTTAAAAAGTGTATTTTAAAAGCACATTTTTAAAAGTGACCAGCTTCAAAAAGCGCTTTTAAGTTAAAATAGGATGTTGCATACAGCTGTTAGACTTTATCAGACAACTATACAAGATCATTAAGAAATTGCCTGAATGTATCAAATGTCTTGAATTATTTTTTTGTCTAAATTTATAAGAAGATTGTTTCACATTTGATAAATTTACTAGAACAGTGTCTCTAGTTTTCAAAGATCAGACGAGTGACGACTGACACAAATTTTCAGAAAATAGTTTAAATTTAATAAGATATTATTTACGATTTTGACAAGTGTCTGAAATTATCAGACGATTGTCTCGAACTTCAAGAAAGTGTTCAATTTTACCATTGTATAAAAGACTGTTTATACAATGATTTTACTAAATGAGTGTGTTAAATTACCAAGAAAGTATATCAAATTAACGTATCCAAGAAAGAATTTTTCCATTTTTTTAAGACAGTATCTTAAATTATTAGACAAAAATCTTGATTTTGAAAGCTGGAAAATTCTAAATTTTTAATCAAACATTCCACATACTTCTCAGTGAATGTTCAAAGTTAACTAGACGGAGTGTTCTAAATCACCAAAAAGTGTCTGAATTTATCAGACGAATATCTTAAATTTCTAAGCCAGTGTCTCGTATCTCAAACAATTATTTCAGGTTTTTAAAAGTGTTGAGATTTTTCCTCGGATTTTTCATAATATGTATTTAGTTTTGAAATTTTAGGAAAATGTCTTACTTATAACTTATATTCCAGCGTCAAAAAACTACCTATCATTGTTTTAATTTTTTGAAAAATATTCCAATTTATCATACTCATCACGTCATCACTATCCAAAATCAAATCATTTTATAAAATTTTGTCTAAGGTGTCGGGAAGTATCAGACAACTGTCTTAAACTTCTAAGAAAGTGTCTCAATTTATAAATAACAATTTTGGGTTCCTAAATATTGGAAATTACCAGTTGATCTCTATAAATATTTGAAAAAATGTCTAAATTCATTAGATGATTGTCTTGAGTTACCGCAAAAAGACGTCTAAGTTATTCAGGAGAGACATCTTGATATTCAGGAGATATCCAAATTCATCTGCTTGAAAAGTAGGTATTTAAATTTACTAGACCAAAACTCAAGAGCTATCAGACGACTAACTCAAGTTTCTAGAAAATCGTCTGAATTTAATGGAAGATTATTTAAGATTTCCAAAAGTAGCTAAAACTATTGTCAACAAGCAAAGCTACTTAGGATAATATGACACTGTATATGATTGACCGACTTATTGATTGGCGAGTCAGCGATAAACGAATATAAATAGTGGTCAGCAACACACAGATAGGCAGACTTGAACCAGCGCAATTACCTCTTTTGGGGAAGTTCCTCTGGCCTAAGTCTCCACCCAGCGCAACTGTACCATGGGGCTATCCTTTAGTAATTACTATTATAACCTTTACTCTACAATATACCTAAAACTAAATACCAAGCGAGTCTCTATCCTCCTGACTCTACGTTACGCTACATACCCCGTCGCGACAGGTATAACTTGTGACATTTGGTTGAGGCGCCGTTTCGATACCCAGGGTTGTGGTGACACTATCAGACGAATGTCTTGAACTTCTAAGATGGCGTCTATTCGACAAGGTTGTCTTCTTTAATCACTAAGAAAGTATCAAAAGTATCGAAAAAAAAAAGAATGTCTATATTTTTCTAACTTTCCAGACATTTCAATGTAAACGCCTGTGGCCTAACTTTACTAGACAAGTGTTCTGAATTAACAAGAAACTGCTTGAATGTTTCAGACAAATGTCTCAAATTACTAAATTTACTAGAAAATTATCTAAGACATTGAAGTAGGTATCAAACATTTTCATACGTTATCACAGAGTTAGATCAAATTTTCTAAAATCTACCAAACTGAATTTATCATAAAGATTGATTCACATTTCTAGGAAAGTGACTGAATTTACTCTTTGAATTTCAGAAAATTCTCCAAATTTAATGATGAGAGATTATCTATAGGATTTTCAAAAATCCAATGTTTGGCTTAGAAACGTGCTCTTTTACTCCTGCCTTCCCTCTAATATATAATTGAATAAATAGACAAAACATGTTGCTTTAGAACTGAAAATTACTATTTCTATACCTCAACCAGGTCAATATTTGACCCAAAGCACTAACAATAACTTTTGCCTTTCGGCATTTTAAAAAGCCTACAATAGACTTATTGTTGGCTTAATCCCAAGAAGGTATTGGCAATGGGGTTCATGGTCAAAGAAGAAAATGACAATTCTAACTTAAGTATCTTCTTCCTAATTATCCACAATTGCCATTATAAAAAGCGCAATTTTGAATCTAAATTTAAATTATATTCTTTTGTTGAATTATCGTTTAGGAGAATTAGCACTTGATGATGCAACATGGAACTTGTATTTATTTACATGATTGTGCCGATTTTAAGCATTTGTGCAAGTCAGACTCTGTATCAATTTAATATTTTAGAGATCAATTAATTTCTCTTATCAGTTTATACTACTTATTTATTATCGACAAGGTTGGCTGGATGATGATTCCAGTGCAAAGTTTGTATTGAGTAGGTGAAGATCTCTAGTGATTTTTTTTTTAGGCTGTTGCTTACCTTATCTGTTTTGAACGGTAACAATTTTGCCAGATTCTTTACCAATTAACCTTGAAATCTATAATGTTTATTGTTTCTAAAGTATCCTTTATTATTTTTTTGCAGTGCCCTTTGTCGCAGTCCCACAAAACAAACTAAAAAATGGTAAGTTTTCTTCAAATTTCAATTAAACATCTTTTAATTTGAATTGTTTTATTCTAGACTGAAAAAGAAAAAGAAGCGACCCAAAACGGTGCCACAACCGAACTGGAAACTTTCTTGCCCAAAGACAATTCAGCTACCAATGGCGTTACCAAGTAAGTACCTTCTAAAGAGTTTCATTTTTCATCTCTAGAATGCATAATTCATTTTATTGTAGACATTGCAGGATATATAAATCTTGCGGGTACCTAGAGAACCCTTTGATTGACTTTTTGGCTTTTGGACAGGTCAAAAAGCAAGTATATTCTTTTAGATTAGATTAGCTCGATTTTATTTTTCGCATTTGCCGACATTTTGGTGTAAATATTCAGCCAGTTGGTTGAGGGTTTTATAGGGACAGTTATGGTATTTTTGGATAGAGCTTCCTTCCATTTTTCGACTCAATATCACATACCTAATAAGACTTTAATCAAATTTACACCGAAACGTTGGCAATTCACTTAAACAACTACCAATAAATATTTCACTTGAATTTCAGATACAAAATCAAAGGAGAGGACTTTGAAGCCGCCATTCATGAATTCGATCCTTTCAAGGCCAGGGAATTGGAACACCCTGTATCGTAAGTATAATACCATCATTATGCTAAAACTTTATACCCAGAAAATCCAATTTTCATTCTTGTCGCCATATAATCCATTAATCATGTTATTAACGGAACTAGAACAATCAATAACTATAAAACCCTGTGGGTGTAAAACCAGGCTACTAACATGCGACGTTTTTATAATATACAGGGTGTTAATGACAATATATTTTATTATGCTGACAAAAACAAACTAAAAACTTCAAAGTCATAGAAACACAAGAAAAACAATCAAAATGTGCAGAATAACTACTCATGAGCTAACGTAAACTTATCTAATCAACAATTCCGAATAAATCAAAAAACATAAAATTCCAGAAACATGGACACCCTCACTCACTTGCTCAAAGCCTCCCTGGGAACCGGGATCCTGTCGATGCCTGCCGCTTTCAAAGCTGCCGGTCTCGTCACCGGAATTTTCTCGACGATTTTGGTTTCGCTGATTTGCACTCACTGCTCGTACATTTTGGTGGTGTGCGCACACGAGCTCTACAAGAAAGCCGGCAAGACTCAGATGAGTTTCGCTGAAGTGGCCGAGGAGGCTTGCAACAGAGGACCCAAGTGGGCGAGGCCTTTTGCACAACCAGCAAGGTAAGAATTTGACTAATAACAAATTTATTTTTGAGCTTCAGATTCATTTCCCATTTGGTTTGTTTGATAAATAGATCCTAATCAATGGATCCTGAAAATATGAAGTCATTTTGAGCGCTGAAAGTATTTTTCACAATCCTTTAAAGGCAATTTATTAGGAATTTTACAAGTTTTTTATGCATTAGTGTGGGGAAAGAGTCATAATTTTCTTTCTGAGCTTCGGATTTACTTCCAGTTTGTTTTATTTGATAAAAAGACCCTAATCGATAGATCATGAAAATTTGAAGCCACTTGGATTGCTGGAAGTATTTTTCATAAACCTTCAAAGGTGATTTAATAAGATTTACCCAAGTTCGTTTTGTATTAGTGTGGCAAGAAACATCATAATTTTCTTTCTGAGCCTCAGATATACTCCAAATTTGTTTTGTCTGATCAAAAGACCTTATTCAGTAAATCCTGAAAATTTGAAGCCACTTTGAGCGACTTTGAAGATGCTTTCAATAGCTTAAAAAGCACTCTTGAGTAAAATCGTTATAATTTAGAAATCCCTTGAATCTTGAAGTACCAAAAGTCGAGTTTTGACTTGAGACACTTCCAGGTTTTCAAAATCTTCAGAAGCTTCTATTGTTTTAAATCAGCAAGCTCCATAGTGTCATCATTCTACAATAATCTTCATCATTAAACACTCTTCGATGTTGATCTGAGCTACCTATTCCATAATTTACATTCAATTCAATTTCTAGTGTTGTGGCTTCAGAATCTTTTATATGAAGTCTCAAACGTTCTTTGAAATCTTTTCCAATGTGTAAGTCTAATCTTTAAGTTCTGCTTAGAGGCTTCAGAAAAAAGTACTTTCCATTTCTTCATCTTCTATTCGCTGCGGACTATTTTCACAATTTTTTTCTTGACACTGACCACATGAACTCATACATTCCAAACCATTCTTCCGTCAAATACATTTCATGGCACCACAACCGGTTTTGCAGTTACATCGTACTATGCGTAATATACTTTCAGGTGCTGGTGGCATATCCATTATTTTCGGTACATACATATTATCATGCATACTCCATCCCCAATCTTTTGGGTTCAAGCCTTCTTGCATTTGTTTCCATATACAAATATGCACGGAGCCTGTGGTCCTTGACAGCTGATTCCATTCTGTGGCTGAACGAAACATATTGCTTTTGATACTTTATCAATAATGTTCTTTACCTAAGTGTATTTAGTTTATCATCTGGATTTCCACCAAAAATACATACCATTATCCTCTTTCCAAATTTTTCAACCTGACTGGTTAAGCTGAACGATAGTGTTGATCTTCAGCAGCTTCAACAACACGTTTGAAAATTGATTGCTTTCCATCATGGAATATTGTGGAAGTGCTGTCACATCCTGTGTATGAATGTATAAAAAATAGACTGTTCGCTAAGTCATTTCTGAGCGAATATCTAATGGCATTGATGTCATATGTTATTCTGTTTGGAAGGTTTTTTATCACTTCTGTCTGAAAAACAGCTTGTGGTATGCTTGATTACACCAATAAATCAGCAATACCAATAATAGATCAGTGTCTTTCTCCTATCAATGTTGTATTTTTGATGATTCCACTGCAGTTTTAACAATGTCAGCATCAGCATCATCAACTGTATGAATTACTGAACATCCATGTTGTCGTATCTCTTCAGCGATTAGAGTAATTATATTTTCTGTTTGTTTTCCTTATTAGTGAGATTCATTTCCTTACTTACTGTGAATGTCATATCAGATGTGAAGTTCACAGAGGGAAAAATTCCATTTATTCGGCGAATATGGGTTATGTCTTTCATTGTGTATTCTGATGTATAGCCATTAAAAACAACAGTTGCTTGCCCATAATTAGCTGACACAAACGACGCATAACATTTTGCCATATCCCTGAATGTACTGCCATTACGCCATAACAGGCGATGCAGTAAGGACCCTCTATCGAACACATAACTTGATTCACCTGTTGCAAATGGCTGAGAATTATTTTAAGTAACATGCACAATCAATGCCCCTGATAGAGCTTTGGCTTGTCTGCTTTCAACAATACTGTTGGACTTTCAAATAACGCAGGTGGAAAGGAGCACAGTTCATATTTCATTACCTCCTCAATATCAGTCTCACTAGAAAAAGATGACATAATCAATCGCTGAAATAACAGAGCTGGGTCAATAGTGGCCTCCTTGTTCTTGAACTTGATAAATGATACAGAAGAAATTGTTTTTACCTTGTCATTTCGTTTCATTTTATACGAAAACACCTTCTGACCCTTCATCTACCAATGGTTTTAAATGTATAAACATCCACTTGTTCAACTGCTGTGACACCAGTTACAATGTTTCGCAAAGTTGGGTCGTTTGAATAAGGTGAAATCGATCTCAGTAGCTCAAGTATCTTATCTGAGTCCTCCTTGTCTCGTTTCATTCGAGATTGCGCCAAATCTTTATAATGTTGTTGTTCACTAAACTCGTAGGTATACAACGTTCGTAAGCTTTTGCATTGAGTTATTGTATTCCGAATACACACAGGCATTGACAACATCCAAGTGATTTTTCGTATTTCGGATATACCATTACTTCTGGTGAGACCTCCATTTGTCTTGAGTGACCTCATTAAACACTGCTCAATTACCAAATCTGCAGACAATTCCGCACATATTTTATCAGTACATCGTATTACATGACCACCTTTATTGAAAACTGCATAGAATTATTCAGAATGCATGCTGTGAAGTTTAGTCATGTTCTGTATGTGAAGGTAAATTGAGTTTGTATAATTAGTATGCCCAGCTGCTGCAAAAATGGACAAGGCTTCTGTAAGTTCTGTAAGACCTTCAAGTATCATTGGAAATGATCTGCAGTTCTGAATTTATGAATGGAAGCTATACTGCAGATTGATATTCAAGCCTGAAGAAGCAGATCTTAGCTCACTCTTTTTTGAATCTAATACATTACAAACTTCTTTCAGATATTCATAGGATTCTAATTCTTTCACATGTATGCTACCTTCCATTAGATTGTCATATAATGTTTCGAGTAAATGGTCAAAGATAACCGATATCTTGCCTTTATCACTTGGAAATGAATATTCGATAAGGTTGATATATAAAGCTGCATCAACTATAAGGTGTTCCCTAATTGTTTGCGATTATGCCTTTCCACTGATTAAATGGAGGGACTGCATTTCCTGCATATATCATTTCATAAACTTCGGAAAGACCAGAACCTGCCATTAATGAACCTACTGCACCCAACAAATTCATAATTGTGTGAAAGTTTCCCAATTGTAGGACAATTGATTTGAGCTCATCATATTCCAGCTTAATCATAGAAGCTTTCCAGAACAATAACTGATCAAAAGTTATGATAGCTGGGATGTGGTTCTCATTAGCGGGTTCAAATCAATCGTAAGAATTTAACCACCGCCTCTCCGGTGTGAATTATATCTTCAATCTTACCAAAGACAATTACATTGTACTCTACATGGTTTCAAATACCTAGACATTTGCCAAACGCGACCTAAAAAACAATTCTTTGGTGCAATGAAAGGTAGATTAACAAAGACTGCACTTTTTAAAATATGTGATGAGTGATGAAGCTCTGTACTCTTGTATGTCGATCTTTCCTAGCTGGAGAAGATCGACATTTTTTATTTTTCGCCTGGTAACTGCAGTAGACGTTTGTGAATATGGTGAAACTGCTGCAATCATGCCGATTACATGAACTGTGTTCTTTCCATCCAGTGTGCATAAATTATGATCAACGTTATCTTCTGCCATAACATGTGAGTTGTTTTTAAGTGGTAATGAAGTGGACGAAACAAGTGCTGCATTCCTCTCAAATGTTCATTGTGGGAAGCTGAAAATCCCAGGGCGTGATGCGTGCCTATGAGGTATCTTGAACGAAAATGATGATGTAGTTGCATGAACATAGTTAGTCCTACTTGAAAAGTTGCTAATATTGACCTGGGCCGAGCACACTGCATTATACACTGACCAATTTGAGGCTATTATATTTTCAGATTTATATCCTTATCAACAAAAGTCTTTGGAAGCAGAAGTCTGAGTGAGTTTGGCAAGTAATTTTAAGGTTTTCACTTCCAGGGTATATGACATTGCTAGTTGTATGTGCAAACTTAATGCTACTTTTGATTATCTTCGCAGCTGCTTCTAGGATAAAGGATCTTCTGTAGCTCGACATTCAGCTTTATCTTTTCTATAATACTGTTTGAGGATATCATCAGCAATTTCATGCAGTGTCACTATATCTGTTAGGCCCTCACTTCCAGAGATAATAATACCTACTTTACCTGCTAGGCAGTCTTCAGTGCCTTCAAGCGTCTTCCAGTATCTTCAGGAGTATTCAGTTTTCAATGTTGTATCTATCTTCAGAATCTTTGATCTTTGATCCGATACCTACATTAGTCTAATCTTGAAGTCCATCAGAATCCTTAAAGTCTTTAGTTTTCAATGTTCAGTCTTTGTGTTAGTCCTGATCCTAAAGAAAACTTCAAAGTTTTCAGAGGTCGTTTTTTGTTCCTATTTGGCAGTCTTCAGTGCCTTCAAGAGTCTTCAGTGTCTTCAGGAGTATTCAGTTTTCACTGTTGTAGGTATCTATTTTTGGAATCTTTAATCCGATACGTTAGTTTATTCTTGAAGTCTATCATAATCCTTGAAGTCAGTGCCTTCAAAAGTCTTCAGTATCTTCAGGAGTATTCAGTTTTTAATGTTACCTACATCTTTAGAATCTTTGATCTTTGGCCATGCTGGGAGTCTTCAGAATCTTCAAAGGCGTTAGCCTCAGCTCCTATTCTGTCCTGAATCAATAGAGTCTTTAAAGTCCTCATTCTCTACAATTTCAAAGTTTTTAGGATGAGTATTCAGGCAGAACATCTTCTCGAGTTTTTATAATATTCCAGTCATTACACAGGATGATGAACTTTGTCATACCTGAAGGGCACGAATTTGAGATCCAAATTCTAGAAACTGACTATAAGTATTCCCATTTCATATTTCAAGTATTTTGGGGGTTAGTTAATTTGGGTATCTATAGCTCCTTGAGAAGCTTAATTTGCAAAAAAAAATAACTGTTCTAGGAAACGTGCCGTCCCTTATTAAGGGTTCGGAACTTCAGTTTCAGTTTACGCTCCAATTTCTCTGCTTCAAAACTCCATCAAAATATTTGTCATTCATTAGAGGTATTTAAGGTATTTTTAGGCCTTTGGGCATGCCATAGTTTCAGTTTATTAAACACTAGTTAACTTCTCAAGGAGATATGATGTGCCCAAAGCGCCCAAAACATTCGAAATTTAAATTAGGAATAGTTGTATAAGATTTTTGAAGTTTAACTCTTAAGAATTTTGATCCAGAATTGGTGTTAATCCTTTTGGGCAAGCTACTGATCCTAGAACAGTCAATTTGTCAACAAATTATGCTCTCAAAGAGTCCAAAGGGACCACATCTTGCTCAAGAAGCTTAAACAGTATACAACGGCCTCCATTTTCTCCACTTAGAATCTCCGCTCGTAGGGCGTTTGAAACAGTAAACAGTGTACAACGGCCTCCATTCTCTTCACTTAAAATCTTCGCAAACAGTGTACAACGGCCTTTATCTCCTCCACTTAAAAACTTAAATAGTGTACAACGGCTTCCATTCTCCCCAGTGTTGGTAGATCGGCGTAGTTGAAATTCTCCATACAAGCGCCAAAAATTCCCTAGATTGGTATAAAAATCCCTATATTCAGAATATATTCGATTTCTAGATGAATGTAAAATCTGAAAACAACAATTCGATTGGATGGCATTGTGTTCAGTACAAAATATTTGTTTCGTATCTTTCTCTATTCGTACGCGTTAGAGAGAGATATTCGATCTATCCAAGCAACCTGCAATAGAGATTGTTTCTCTTTTCTCTCTCTAAGCGGCATAAACGGTGTATTTTCATTATGATATTGTTATTTTTCATAAATTAAAAGCATAATAGGTATAAAAAATGCCAAATTATTTTACATTTTGCGCTAAAATATTACGGGAATATAAATTAAAAAATCCCTAAATCTGGCATAAATTTCCCTTTTTCCCTAATTACTGAAAAATTCCCTAAATCTAGGGAGAAATTCCCTAATATACCATCACTGATTCTTCCCACTTAGAAGCTTCGCCCGCAAGGCGTTTGAAACAGTGTACAACGACATCCATTTTCTCCACTCAGAACTCAAATTCTGATGTTAGGGCTACAATTAGAACCCTCGGCGGCCAAGGCCAATCCAAATTTTGGCGCCTATACTCCCCTTCCCACCGCTGTCTTGAAAAAAAATATCTATTTGATGCTATAGTTTTGGCCCCCCAACCTACCCACTGTAATTTGACTCAATAAAAATAGGCCACTGTGTAAAGATACAAGTGATAAATATTTCATTATTCTCGGCTCTTGTAGGAAATCTTTCACAAAAGCCGGTAATCGAAAACAATTCCACCACTGAGGGTGATCAATATTTTCTTATTCCTGGCTCTTAATGAAGAAAATCTTTGACGAGAGCCGGTAATAGAAAACAATTCTACCCACTGTAATTTGACTCAACAAAAATAAGCTATTATATAAAGATACAGAGTGATTAATATTTTATTATTCCCGGCTCTTGTAGGAAATCTTACCCGAGAGCCGGTAATAATCGAAAATAATTCTACCACTGTATAAAGATACTACAGAGTGACCAATATTGTACTCTGGGCTGAAACTCTGTAATAGATAGAGATCGTTATCCCTATCGCTATGGCACTTGCTGTCATCTTCTCTCTTCTCAAAATCAATAGAGATAGAGAAAATATCTCTATTTGTTACAGTCCCAACCCTAGCGTTCTAGGCTCGCGCCAAGTTCGCCACCTCCTAGTTGTGGCCCTGTCTGATGTCGAATTTCAAAGATTTTATAGTTCTAAAATCCAAAATGGGATTCTTATTAACCACATAGGTAATTTTTGTCTGATTACCAAATCAAGTTGCAAACCGTTTAAATCTAAACAACTTGCTTCAACATTTTGGGAGGGATTCTCCATTTTTTCCAAATATTCAAAATCTTCTGAAGCATACATTAGTTCCAGATGGCAGATTTCATAACAGCTTCATTCTAAAATCTTGAAGCTTCAGAATCTTTAGGTATCAGTTTTTAGTGTTGTGTCTTTGGAATCTTTGATATAGAGAGAATCGAGCCTTGAGACACAATCTTTGAAATCTCACATGATGAGAAGCCCTAAGTGGCACAAAATTCTTAAAATATGAAATCTTTTGAGAAATAAGATTCTATAAATACCATTTCTAAGCTGCATTGTACAGACACTAATCAGTTATTGAAACTATTTCAGGCACACAGTCCTCATAGGAATCTTCATCACCTACTTCTTCACCTGCTCCTGCTACAGCGTCATCATAGCGAAAAACATCAACTACGTCCTGGACCATCATCTCGAATCAGAAATCGACATCCGTCTAACAATCGCTACGTTGCTGATCCCCCTAATCCTGTTGGCTTACGTGCCAAACTTGAAGTACCTGGCACCGTTTTCCATGGTTGCCAACATTTGCATGGCGATCGGTTTGGGAATAACTTTCTACTATTTGGTAGCTGATATTCCGTCCATTGACGAGAGGCCTTATTTTGGTAGCATCGCCACCTTGCCAGTGTCTGTTAGTGTGGTGATTTTTGCCATTGAAGCTATCGGAGTGGTAAGCATAACTAAATTAACTCCCATTCTAACTTATCTAAACAAATTTGTCCAATTTCAGGTAATGCCATTAGAAAACCACATGGAAACTCCAAGAAGCTTCACAGGAATCTGTGGAGTGCTAAACCAAGGCATGTCCTTTGTTACTTTGGTCTACATTTTGCTCGGTTTCTTTGGTTATTTGCGGTACGGAGAAGCCACAGCTGACTCGATCACTTACAATCTACCAAGAGATGCAATTCCAGCTCAAGCAGTCAACATCCTCATTGCCCTGGCAGTATTCTGCACTTTCGGGCTACAATTTTACGTTTGCGTTGACATCGCCTGGAATGGTATCAAAGAAAAATGTACCAAACACCCCATTGTAGGCCAATACGGTATGAGAACCTTTATGGTGTTCACTTGCGTTGCTACAGCCATCGCGGTACCAACTATAGTTCCCTTTGTGAGTCTTATTGGGGCTTTTTGCTTTTCTATTTTAGGCCTTATAGTGCCTGTGGGTATCGAAATTATTACGTTTTGGGATAAAGGGTTTGGCAAATACAACTGGAAAATTGTTAAGGATGTTATTGTAATTCTTACCGGTCTTTTGGCTTTGGTTTTCGGCTCGAAATCTGCGCTGCAAGACATTGTAGCTTTGTACACCACGAAATAACGGCTTTGGGTTGTAGACGAAATTTTAGAAAAATTAACTTATGAGAAGTAGTCAGACGAATTTTACCTCGATAAAAAAGGGCTGTGATATATATTTTTAGTTTATTATTAAGTTACAAAATTTTTTTTATTGCTGGTACAATAATATAGAGTTTGGCCTTGAAATCTTTTGTCCTAAACTTAGAGGTATATGTTTTCTGGTTATTTCTTGTAGTAGAGAAACGGGGTATTTTTCTATGTGACAGTAGAAAAAGTTTAGTTTTAAGGAGCACTTTGCATTTTTCATAATACAGGGTAACATCTGTTTACAAGTATTTTTTCATACCAAAGCACAACTTTTCTGCTCTAATTTTGGACAAGGAAAAAGCAATTCAGTTTGGACATTAGAAAAACATTTTTATTATTAATTTTCTTGTCTGAAGTCTCTAGACTTACATGAAGGTATTAAATTTTGTTATTTTTTGGCACTAAAATTAAATTATTAGAAAATAATCTTGAATGTAAAGGCCAGTATTTTTATGCCTGGATAAATTTATCCAACAGTGAAAGTACTTGCAGCCTAATTAATTAAGTAAATAAAAAGTGCGTTTATTATTATTAATAATTATTTAAGTATAATAATAGTTTAGTGAAATATGGATTGTATATGAGCTCTATTGCTCTTTTGTTGGTTTCCATCTAAAAAATTTCATTTTTGCTCCCTCCTGTGATTATTTTGTCTTGTTTTTTGGCCTGGATTTGTACGTTTTCTGAACCAAATTTTTATTTTACATGGATTTTGAGAAACAGTTTTTTTATAAGATTTTTTTAAATAAATAATTGATGTAATGAATTTGTGTGTATTTTTTTAATAATTTCCTATGGATGCTCATGTAGCTGTCCGCACAAGGTACCTACTCTATTTATTAGCTAAATGGCCTTGCTTACCTTTTGGTAAGCGGTTTTATTGAAATAATAAAAAACTGGCATAAATGGAAAGTTTTAATGCATAGTTGGTTTTCTTTTGAAAAAGGTAAAAAACTCTTGTTGTAAAAGTTGGGTGATTTCGTTGAGTTATCACATGAAATGTGATATTTTCAACTTTGAATGCCTTTGGAGAACAAGCAAAGCATAACAACATTAGCATTTTTCTACGACTGCTTGAGTTGAAAAAAACAATATTAAGACTATTCTGTCACTTTATATTCCTAAATAACTTTTAATTCAGAATTCTGGAATTTCTTCAAAAATTTTCAAATTTGTCCTTATCATACATGATCCGCAGATCCCAAAAATGCGAAAAAAATCTTGAGATGCCATTTGAAATTACGAAGTTAGGGCCATTTCCGGCTAAACCGGAAGTTACCAAACATTAAAACATAATGTCAAAAAAATAAGCAGCAAATGCCAGCGTGAACCTGATTTCGTAAACACCCGGTATTTCCATTAAAATTTAAACAAACAAAAACAAATTATACACTATTAGAAAGAGCGTTAAATTCTCTATAAATCTGTGTGTAATTGAGGTTTATTGCTGAAATACTTTTCGAGCAATTGAGCCTCAAAGTTGAAAACAGCTTAATGAACAAATCCCAGTTATTACTTTTAATACAAGAAACAGGGGTGTATTCCAGTGGCGAAACATCAAGAGCTCTGTTCCAACAGACATGAGAATCGTTCCAGAACTAGTAATTTCCAGGTACTAACCTACTTTTCAATAAGTTGAACATAATTGACAAATGAATTAACCGACTGAAAATTACCGTTCTAGAACGGTTTTCATATCTATTGGAACTTGGAACAGAGCTAAGAGCATGAAAATTGTTATTTTCCAAAATGCTATAATGCTGGCCAACACTGGTATTCATTTTTTATCTGCTCTTTGCTAAAAAAATCATAACTTCCTTAGCTCACCCTGTATAAGTGGATAAATAAAAGAAATATATAGGCCGAATCCTATATACGTATTCTCAAAGAGTTGGTGAAGAACCTCCCGAATACCGCAACTCGCAATTCGATATCTCTTTCCGTTTCGAAAATATCGATGAGATTTGAATTTGGGTAAAATTTTTCATGTCACAAAGCAACTGCGTGTATTCTTTTCCATCATGTGAGTTGGATTAAGTTTCGCTCACCGTTGCATCAATGGCCATTTGGTGCTCAGGTCCCGGTATCCCGTTTCCATGTCCTCAAATTCTTTCTCTTGGCGATTTGGTCAGCATACTGCTGGCATAATCTAAGCCTTAGTCAATCAGCTTTTTTCTTGTCAGTGTGGTGAAGGTGGTACTTTAATTTGTTTGATTTGTTCATTATGCCTTTTTCAATAGGTTCAGAAACTATTGTCCCTAATCAGTTCAGAGTTAATTCTGGTCCAACGTTTGAAGTGGACAATCCATGTTCAGGATTATGGTTGACTGGGTTGACAAATTCCTAGGTTTGGTCCGTCCCTAGCTGGTCGTTTTCATTTGCTTACATGTAAAAAAAATGTTTCTAATTAAAAAGTGCTGTTTCTGGTTTCAGTCGCAACAATAATCTACAAGGGAATCTTCTTATAGCTGTACGATCGCTGTGTGCCGTTGTCGTTGCTGTTTATCGGGAACATACTAATGACTCCGGACTCCACTGCTACTTCTGCTTCTCAATGTTTTAACTTGTTTCTTCATCACTATCAGATTCTAATTCCGCGACGCACTGTTTTTCATATCTATCTCATCTTCTGACTCCTTGATCCTTCCATAAGGGCGCCTTCTGTCCACGGGTCATTGTAAGGCAACATCCTACTTACGTGGTCCGTGTCTCTATTCTTTTTGCTTCCAATTTTTTCTACCTCCCTAATTTACTTCTCCTATTTTCCTAATAACTTTATATGTTCCAAAAGTTTCTTATTCGGGCAAATACTTTCACTTTGTCTCCTGTTGTTTTGCTCAACCCTAAGTAGCCGCATATCGGTGACGCGTGTAGTTCCCACAGAATCTCTTACCTCATTGATTTTGGTACCACCGCAGTACTTTCTTGAGGAGGCCTTTTTGGGTTTTTTTCACTTTGTAGTACAGTAAATCATTCTCGATTTTAAAATTTTTCGCTCTTCTCCTAGCTCCGATGTTAATATTTGAATCGTCCGGACTTTCTGATCTGTCTCAACTCCGGTTCCTTTTCTGTAATGAACTTATTTCCATTGTTCTGATCGCAAATGTTGGAAGTTTATCTTGTTCCTCGCTTTTCTGTGAATCGGGTTGCAAGACTGGGTTGTGGGACATGCAAGTAGCATCTTTGTGGGTTGAGTCTTTTTTGTATTCAATTCGAACTCTGCGAACTTCAATGTCCATCTGGCTAGACGTCTGTTGCTCTCCTTGTTAGAATCCATCCAGCATAGGGTGTGGTGGTCTGTTATAATTTTCACTGGTCTACCGTAGATTAAATGCCTTAGATAGTTTGAGGCCCAATGTACCTTATAGCTCTAACTCGCTTATTGAATAATTTTTCTCGCTATTTGATAGAGTTCGACTTATATAGGCTATTGGATGTGCATCTCCTTCATTGTCCTCTTGCAATAGCACTGCCCCAATTTCACATGTTGCTGCATCTGTGTGTAGAAGAGTATTTTTATATGGGTCAAAATACTTTAGTACTGGTGCTGATATGTCTTTTCTTAAGAGTATTGAAAACTTCCTCCTGGTTTGTGCCCCATTGGAATCCTATATTTTTCTTTGTTATACGTCATGTAATGGTCTTGCTATTGCTGCGGAGTTGCATATGAACTTTCTATAGGAATTACAGAATCCTAGAAAACTTTGCACATCTTTAACTTTCTTTGGAGTTGGAAAGTTCCTTATGCATACCAGTTTATCTTCGTCTGGTAGCATGCCCTTTTTGTTCACATTAAAACCCAGGATTTTTATTCCTTTTCGTAGGTACTCGCATTTGTTTGGTTGTAGAGTTGGGTTTGCCTGTCGTAATCTTTCCAAAACTTTTCCTAATTTTGCCAAGTGCTCCTCGAACGTTCGGGAAAATATTATTGTGTAGTCCAGATAAATCAATACTTTCTCCCCATTTCATGTCCCAAAAAATGTGGTCAGCTAATTCTTGGAAGGTTGCGGGAGCATTACAAAGTCCAAAGCTGAGAACATTAAATTCGTAGGTTCCGTGACCTTGTGCTACGAATGCGGTGTACTACTGTTTGGAGCTTTTTCCGACGGTTACCTGCCAGTATCCAGAAACCATATCAAGAGTGCTGAAATAGGATGCATTTCCGAGATATGACAGAATATCGTCGATTTGTGGTGGTAGAGAGTATGATGATTTCTTTGTTACGGCATTAACTTTTCGGTAGTCGACACAAAAACAGATTTTCCCATCTTTTTTCTTTACTAGGATCACCGGACTAGTCCACGGTAAATGACATGGATGTCTAGCATTTCTTTTATTTGCTCGTCGACTATTTGCCTTTCTTTGTGGGACACTCTGTAAGGTCGGGCTTCTTATGGGACTTGCTTCCCCTACTTCAATATTATGTTCTGTCAGATTTTTCTTTCCCATGTGCTTTATTGAATTGGCAAAAACGTCATTATACTCCAGTAGTAGTTCTTGTAGTGCCAATTTGTGATGTTGTGTGGTCGTCGAGTGTAACTGCTTCTATCTGTTCCTGTTCCACGATTTCCTCCTGTGTTACTAGGTGATAGGCGGGGATTTCGTATTCCGGTTCCTCTAAAAATGCTATCGTGATTCCTGCGTATAAAGCTATTGGATTTCTTGTGTTGGATTGTACTTTTATAGTGAGGTTTGTCCCATCTGTATAAGTGTTTGTTTTCAGTGTCAGTCGATTCTTTTGTAGCCCACTGTCTCGTTTATTGTCTTTATATTATGTGCTTTTTCTTGGGCTAGTTTGGGTTAGTTTTGCATTAGAGGCTTAATTTTATCTTCAATTTTTGACTCTATCTTCCGGAAGTCTGGTTTAAATCTCTGGATGCTGACTTTGACTCCTATGTCTTTGAACACAAAATACAGCATCCCATTCTTTTTCCAGTGTCCATCCTTGTCTAGGAAATACCAGTTTTTTGAAGGATTGCTCTTTTATAGTTTCTCTCAGTGCTAACAAACATTTACACATGTTTCTTGGTGTGGGTTTTGTCTCTCTTACAAAAAGGAACACTGTTGAGTTTCTGTCGTGGTTTATTACTGATAATTGCCCGACTGTGCCCTCTGGTTTCCTTCTAAGGAGCATGTGTCTGTAGGATTTGTAGACAGCTTTCTTTCTTTTGTAGTTTCGTGTTACCCCGAACACCATGGTGGCATTGCTTTGCAGCTGGTTTCTGTATATGATTTCTTCTTTTAGGAAGCTGTTCACTTCTCTCTTTTTTATCTGTGAATGGACTCTGATCATCTTTTTCGTCCTGCTTGTGTTTGCTTACCGGTTGGGTTGTTGTAATGAGGCTGGACAGACTGATATTTTCCTTGTGATCTTGGTGTAGGGGTATCTTGTATACATTATTCAGTGTAAGCAGCTTCCGTGGTAGATCATCTATTTTCTGTTAGAAATTCCATACCTAGGATTATCGGTTGTATGGATGCTGAAATTACACTCCACACCGTGCTTCCCAAAATTTCCATCGGCATTGTTGCTTTTCCTATGACTGATATCCGATGACCTCCGGCGGTGATTAGGATTGTATTGTCGTCTGTTTGAATCTTTTCTGTTGCCAAATTTTTTTGCATGACGTTATTTTGGGCTCCAGTATCTATATTATCGCAGTTATGTTTTCATTATTGATTCTAATTGTGATGTGGATTCCTAGTTTATTATTGTCACTTAGTGCTAGGATGGCAGGGGAGCTTACTTTTACCATCCTCTCCCGT